GAGGAGGAGGGGGACGGGGGAGGGGGGGTGGACACCAGCGAACAGGCGACAATGAGTCGGAATGCGTGATGTTCATTTGCGGAATTGGACTATTGTTACTCCTCGGGCGGGAACTCAGGGAGGCTGTGATAGAAGAGAGAGGGAGAGAGGGAGAGAAAGGGGGGGGCGGAGGGGAGGAGAGAGAGAGGGGCACTGGAGGGAGGAGAGGGAGAGAAAGGAGATGGAGAAAGAGAAAGAGAGAGAGAGAAGAGAGAGAGAAGAGAGAGAGGGTGAGAGAGAGAGAAGAGAGAGGAGAAGCAGACAGACAGAAGAAGAAACGAGAGGAGAGAGAGAGGAGAGAGGAGAGAGAGAGAGAGAGGAGGGGGCGGGGGGACGGAGGGAGGGAGGGAGAGGGAGAGAAAAGAGAGAGAGAGGAGGAGGGAGTGAGAGAGAGAGAGAGAGAGATAGATAGATAGATAGATAGAGGAGAGAGAGGAGAGAGGAGAGAGAGAGAGAGAGAAGAGAGAGAGAGAGAGAGAGAGAGAGAGAAGAGAGAGAGAGAAGAGAGAGAGAGAATATATAAGATAAATATATATATATACATATATAATATATATATATATATATATATATATATAATATATATAATATATATAAATATATATAATATATATATATATACTATATATAATATGTAAGAAGGGGAAATGCAACACGAACAAACCTTTTAAAAAACAAACACTCCAATGTCTTCGGTAAAGTCAAAAGCACAATTATTAAAAAAAAAAAAAAAAAGCAATATCATCGTTTTTCACTTTTTTTTTCTTATCACAAGGATCAAGCGACGACATCAAAATCATTCGCGATCCTGTATTTTTACATGTCATTTATCTCTCAATTTGCATAGAGATTGAGTTGGTCGCCCTCGGTGGACGGGGGCGGAGGGGGGGGGGGTGGATCGGGGGGGGAGGGAGGGTAGGAGAGGAAGTGTGGGGCTGGGGGGTGGGGGTGATCGATGGGTGATGTGAGAGGGGGGGAGGGGTGAGGGGGGAGGGGAGGAGAAGGTTTTTGGGGGTATGGTAGAGAGGGGGTAAGGGAAGGGAGAGGGGTGGAAGGGTAAAGGGAAGGGGGAATGGGAGGGGAAGGTTTTGTTGGGTATGAGGTAGGAGAAGGGGTAAGGGGAAGGAGGGAGGGGGTGGGAAGGGGGAATGGGAGGAGAAGAGTTGTTGGATATGGGTAGAAGAGGGGTAAGGGAGAGGAGGGAGGGGTATGGGAAGGGGTAGAGGAAGGGGGAAGGTTATGGGTGAAGGGTGAGGAAAAGGCCGAGGGGTGGATGGTTATGGGCAGAGGCAAGGGAAAAATTGGGTCAGTATAGGTAGGAGAAGAGGGAGGGAGGAGGGATATAGAGACGAGAGGGGAGGAGGAGAGGGACAGGGGGAGGGGGATGAGAAGAGGGAGAGGGGTGGGCAGGGGAAGGGGGGAGGGATATGAGAGACAGGGAGAGGGAGGAGGAGGGGAAGGGGGGGAGGGATTGAGAGAGAGGGAGAAGGGAGGGGGGAGGGAAGGGGAGGATATGAGAGGCAGGGAGAGGGGAGGGGGAGGGGCAAGGGGGGAGGGATATGAGAGAGAGGGAGAGGGAGGGGAGGGCGAGAGAGGGATATGAGAGAGGGAAGGTGAGAAGGGGGGAGGGGAGAGGGGAGAGGGGAGGGGGAGGGAAGGGAGGGATATGAGAGAGAGGGAGAGGGAGGGAGGCGGGGAAGGGAGGAGGGATATGAAGAAGAGGGAGAGGGGAGGGGGAGGGAAAGGGAGCAAGAGAACTGTGGGTAGAGGGAAGGAGAGGATGTTGAGGGGGGTTGGGTAGGGGGAGGGGAGGGGGGTATGAGAGGAGGGAGAGAGGGGTATTAAACCGGGTAGAGTGTGTATAGGAGGGGGGGGGTTAAGGAAAGCGGGGAGGGGGGGGGAGGGGGGGGAGGGGTTTCACTGTGGTAAATCCAACGATTGTATTTTTTCCACATCATTAATTTCATATATATGTATATTTTTATCTTTATTTCGTTAATGAATGCATTTGAGCGCGGTAAAACGAACGGAAACAATCTGGTTTTATCGCCAAAAATTTCCAAATCAAGTATTTTTTTTTGCAATTTCTTTATGAATTTTGTATAAAAAAACAATGACAACGTTGCCAGTCATTTGTCACTGTTATTGTCGTCATTATTGTTATTATCATCATGAGTAGTATTGATGTTATTGTCATTGTTATCATTATTATCAGAATTGTCATTACCATTATCAAATACTCTATCGACTTCAAATTCTCTATCGACACCAATTAAAAAAATAATGAAAAAAGAAAAAAAGGAAAACAAAAAACTATACAAACAACTTAATGAAAAATAGATAGATACAAAATAAAGATGTTTTTTTATCATAAAATAGTTAATCATAAGTTATCATAAAAATATTTATGCTCAATACACCGATGAAAAAATGAAAACAACTTAATGAAAAATAGATAGATAAAAAACAAAGAAAAAAAAAATACTTATAAAAACAACTTTATGATCAATACAAAACAGACATAATGTACTGAATGCTACCACAATATGCAGTGCAACATTTGTACAAACATTATCATTTCTCTCTTCATTATTCCTTTATTCCTTATTTACGGAAATAAGGGCAAAGCGAAAGCAAAATCTTTTAACCCTTTCCCTGATAACAGCTGTTTCGTGTTTCACTTTCTTGGGATCTGCTGCAAAGTCATTCTGTTTATGTATTTTACAATTTGTAGGTCTGTGCTGTCTCTCTATTCGCTGTTGGCTTTCTTTTCTGTTCTGAGTTGTTGTTTTTTAATTGAACTTCTGTCTGTCTCTTTTCTTCTCTCTCCTTGCTCCCTCTCTCTTTTTCGCTTTCTATCTTCCTTTTCCTCCTCCGCCCCCTCCCTCTCTCTCTTTCTCTCTCTCGCTCTCTCGCCCTCTTTCTCTCTCTCTCGCTCTCTTTCTTTCTTTCTTTCTCTTTCTCTCTCTCTCTCTTTCTCTCTCTTGCTCTCTTTCTCTCCTCCCTCTCCCTCTCTCTCTTTCTCTCTCTCTCTCTCGCTCGCTCTCTTTCTCTTCTCTCTCTCTCTCTCGCTCTTTCTCTCTCTCTCTCTCTCGCTCTCTCTCTGATCCTCATCATCAAACACACACATCGCATTAGATATCAAAACTACTTATCATTGCATCTATTTACTAATGAAATTCAAATATCTCTTTTCAGGTACGTGCTCATATCTCACTGTATTCACCTGTAGCCAAGTGAGTGTTTTTTATATTAAAATTTATATTATATTATTTATATATATTATATTATTTATATTTGTATTATTTATATCATAATAGTTTTTGTACAATATGCTTTCAAAAAAAGATGTGTATTTGGTTGTAATAGTTTCTCTGCTTCAGTCATTTTGCTTTACGTATGTTGTAGAGAGGTTGTAGATTTAGAATGGTTTTGTTAACTGTGTGTTTGACTGAAGTTTTCAATGTCTTTTCAAGTCAAAATAGATTATATTTAAAATTCCATTCAGTTTATGTTATTCAATGTTTTTTTTTTTTTTTTTTTTTTTTTTTTTTTTTAATCGTTGTTAAATTATATGCACTGTAATTCACTAAAACATTTTTTTTTGTCAAATTCTATTAACTGCAATTCACTAAATTCTCTACAAGAAACCGAGGCAATGACATCACGTGGCGC